AAAAAGGAGGCGGAGAACGATCCCCACTGACACGGCAAATGCCTTCCACTAGTGCAGCACAACAGCTTAGTCGCAAGTATTTGCACTACGCCACATCTTCGGTTGTGGTGAATGGGGGATGGTTGTGAATGTGTGCATCAGCACCGCGCAAAGTCATTGAGGCTGAGAAGAGGGAGCAGAGGATTGAGTGTAGGTTGTGAATGCAGTCGTTCGAGCCATTCAAATAAGCGCCACTTGCAAAGCTGGCTGGTGCCACATCAAGCAGGGATTGCTGTGTGATGGGGCGTCAGGTTGTCATCAACGCCATTCGAATGGCTTCAACAATGAATTAAAGACGCCTTCCACCAGTGGGGAAGTGGGGGGAGAGAAAATCCACCCCACAGTGGTTGTTGAGATGCAAACCCGTCTTCATGGCCTCAGAGAGGTTGTCGGTGGTGTGGCAAGGGAGCCTGCGGTTGAACGTTGAATGCTTCGAGGCTATTGGGATAGGCATTTGGGTCTGCTGTGAGTGTGAGGATGCGCAGAGCTTTAACTGCAAGTTCGGTTCTCTCGTTTGGTCCATCGACCACTCAAGGCTTCGTCACGTCTTCTCCTCCCAACATCGACAGTTTTCTTCCACCATCTTAATATTTAAACCAACTTCCGATCTTCACGAACACTACTCCATCGCGTTTCGAATGCATCTTTGTCCACGCCACCACCTCGCACCAACACCGTCGTTGGAGTTGGAATGGCACAGTTGGTAGCAACTGTGGGATTCTGTCTATGCAAACCACTTCCTCTCACAGTCCGTGCAACGAACACTGACTGAAATTGTGTGAGGCACCATCGACTGGAACTCGCTGCTTGGCGTGCACACAACCATGTGACAACTAGTCTGCAGATACGCAGTCCACACCACCCAATGTCTACTGCTGAGCTCTCGTGATTGCTGCTTCTCTACTGCGCCTCAAACCCCTCCGAACACAAGAATCGAGTGGACTGGGCTCGTTTGACACAGAGGACAGCTAGAGCCTTCTAGCCTGACCCACAGACATCCCCACCCCATGGAGGTTAGGTGGTGGGATGCCGACTCCGAACGAGCAAACTACCAGTGCACCACACATCACCATGATGCATTACCTCCTCCCAGTCATTCTTCCACCAACTGCCACTGACCCGATGGAGGCACATGGAACGGTGTGGGTGGTGTGCTACCACCAACGGTGGCAAACGAGTTGATGGTTTTGAGAAGGGCACCAAGGCTACTGCCTCTGTGATGTGGCATAAAAGCAGACAGCAAAACTAACGTCCCACCAAATGACCGATTGGAGTGCGGAAAATGCCTCGTTTGGTGGTCCATGTTAGATGTCACCGTCTACCTTCATTGGCTTCCTTTACCAAAGTGGTGTTGGTGGTGAGGCAGACGATTGTTATTAAACTATTGTATGCCACCAACTCACTCATCATTCGAAGATGGGGATGGACGTCTTCGTGGCTGAAAGGAAGGAGGAGGAGATTGTGCACTTGGCTGCACGACAACCGTTTGCCATGCTAGTCTGCACAACCATCCGCCTTGACTCCCGTGGCAGCTGCTTCATTGGCGCTCGGCACAGCATTCTGTTGGCAACACGCAAAGTAAACGAAGACGAGAGAAGGGGAGGAGGAGAGTGTTGTCTCGTCCCATCTGTCGCATGCAAACGACATCTCGTCGGACACATTTGGCGTCCACCCTGCCAGTTTATTTAGCCGATGTCGGTGTAAGCGCAATTTAGTTGCTCGGTAGGGAAGCGCACTTGGTGGTGTACGAAAGTGAATATCAAAGCTAAATTACGTGCAGTATCATCTGCAACAGCTCCTGTTGTCATCTGCCTTTCTAGGACTTTGAATGAATCCACCAAGTCGTCCATCATGGCG